TTGTCAGCAGTGCTGGAGCAGTGACATTCAGTTTTCCCGCATGCACGCACCGTGCACCACAGTGTTTGGAGGGACGCCACCGCGGAGGATTACCCAGGATGCTCTGGCAACTCCTTCAGCAATCGGGCATGCTGCCAAACAAACATGAGCCAATTGAGACGTTCTCCCCGTGTCTTCTGAGATGCGACTGCGACAGATGCACTCGTGACACGTTGCTGACACAACACTGACGCTACACGACGGCCTGACACCGACGCTGCGGCTGCGGCTCCTTTATTCAGGCTCAGAGGCACACGATTTAACACACGATAAATGTTTGTCAGCAGTGTCACTGTGGAATTCACAGCAAATCATCCGAGCACCTTCCCGTGGAAGCGTCACCTAGTGAAATATTCAAATGGGAGCCTTTCATTTACTCATGTCAAACTGTGCCACTCAAGCAGCTGGGGGGAATCTGATGCCCTTTTGCCTGTGCAGCTGTCTGCTCGCATGCCACAGACAGAGGTGCTTTTGTGGCAATTTTAAACAGATAACGTTGGACGCATGGGGTCAGGTTAAAGCCCCCGCTGATGCCGACTTTTACCTCTGGTGCGGGGTCCCAAGGAATATTGGTATCTAAGTAATTACCATCCAAGGGGCATCGAGGCAGAGAGTTATTACCAATCAGTGTGGTAATAGATTCAACACTTCTAAAACGGAGAATGGCGCATTGCTGCAAGATGGATTATGTGGGGTTTGTGAGTTCAACATTGACACAGATTCATCGTAAATCATTATGCCACAGACCTGGAGTGATTTCTGCATTAGGAGCAGAAAATGGAGTTCACCCAGTCAATGAGGAGGGCATATTTCACATCAATCACCCACTTCCATGCTCATGGACCTCACATCCTCACTAAAGCTCGCGCTCCAAAGTAAGCGACCAGTTCACTGCCGCGGCCCACGGCCAGCTCTGTATGTGTACGCAGAGTTAAAAGTTGTGGGCAGAAAAAGTTAACTTAATCCTGAAACAATATCAAGATTAAAGTGAATGTAATATTGAAACAATAGTGAGATTAAAGTGAATTTAATATTGAAACAGTAGCAAGATTAAAGTGAATGTAGTATTGAAAGAATTGTGCTGTATGAGTATAAAATCATAACCATGGTTGGGATGTAACAGAATACAAGTATTTGAAATACGTATTCAGAATACAGAACTTAAGTATCTGTATTCAGTCCAAGTTACATTTGGTAAAGGCAGTATTCAGAATACAGTTATTTTTAAAATTTTTAGAACTCTTTTAAAATACTTAACCACTAAATAAAAATATAGCTTCAAAAGAAATACCATCAATGCTCGTTTATGAACTATTTTAAAATCAGTACACAGCATGCAGCAAACATGTTCACTTGACAAACTCTAAAGAGGACCTCAATTGATGGCTTTTACAAACACTGAAGCTCCTGCTAAAGCCTGAGTAGACTGATAAACCAATATGATGAGTCAGTTATAAATCTTGGTGTTAAAAAACTCCTTTGAGGCACAACCAAACTAATAATCTCCTTAGTAGTGGTCATAAGTTTAGCATCAGCGTTGTAGTGGACTCCCGCTTGGGGATTGTGGGGGCAATAGTGGACTGAAGCAGTCAATGACAGAGACAAGAAAAAAGTAGAGAATTTCAAAACTTAATTTAAATGATAAGCAAATTTTCCATTAAACATATTAAGAGAAGAATTACATGAACAAAACTACCAACCAGTAATAGTGAAAAACAGCATTAATTAAGTCAAAATAACAGCAGAGTTTTTCATGTTATATCAATATGTATTCTAAATGTATTCTGAATACATTACTTTTTATATATTGTAACAGAATACAATACTGAATACATTTAGGACAGTGTATTTTGGATTCAGCAGTCACTACTTTTTCAAAGTATTTTGACCATAACCCATGCATCCCACTTGGGTATGTGTGCAGAGAGGTAAAAGCTGGAGTTTTAATCAAGTTATAAGCAGAAAAACTAACAGTTTAACATACAGTATAAAATAAAACTATAGCCAGGTTAAAGTGAATTTAATATTCAATCAATTATTTGAAAACTCAAAACTTACCAATACTGTATGCTACATATGGTGTGACCTACCATAGCCCATGCAACCCACTAAGGTATGTGCACACAGACTTAAAAGGTGAAGTTTTAAACAAGATAAGCAGAAAAAGTATGCTTAATATAAAGTGAATTTAATATTGTGCTGTATGTGTGCCATGGCCTTTTTAGCTGGAAAACTGAAGCATTAACAATACTGAACACTAAATATGGCAACATAACCCTGCTTGTGCATGTGTGCAGAGGGTTAAAGTTGGAGTGTTGAGCAGGTTGTAGGCAGAAAGGGTATTGATGTAATATACAAAAGAAACCAGTTTGTTTGTGCTGTACCCTATGAAGCGGATAGTTTCTGATTAAGGATACACCGATATGGGAATTGTGGGCCACTGACAATGTCTGATATTTTTCATCTACATATTCACTGATATACCGATGCTGATATACCAATACATAAACATTTATAAAATAGAAATTAAGACTACATCTATTTGAATTAGTATTACAGAGAAAATAACATTTATTTCTGTGTGATTAAAAATGCAGTAAAAAAGGCAGATATTTGAACCTAGCATTGCCTAAACATTCCGCTCTTTCAGAGTACTAGGCCTATGTATTTGTAATCAGATATCGGTTTGAAATATTGGTCAAATCTAACTGCTTGTCTGATGCAAATGTTTTTTAAGCACATATCTGCTGATACCAGTGCGATTTCAATACAGCTGAGCATCCCTATTTTTGATTTGTTTAATTAAAAAATTGTTACAAGGCAATACTGAAATACGGTGGCATTACTCACCTGTGCACAGCGATTATTTAAAGCTTTTAAAGAAGAAACTGGGAGTGTGAAATGTTCCCTGTTGCAGAGAGTAAAAGAGTAAAAGTTGTTGGCCAGTGGCAACTAATGTTACTTAGCTATTGCAGTATGTGTGCTGAAAATGTAATTTTATTGATGTGACAATTTTGGCCTTAGTACTGGCTGAGTACTAAATACACTGTCCTAAATATATTCAGTAATGTATTTTGTTACAATACATAAAAAAGTAACATATTAGGAATATATATATTAGAATAACTTTAGAAAACATATTGAAAAGGCAGATGGGGAAAAAAGTATTTATTGATTTAATTCATGCTGTTATTCACTGTTATTGTTCAGCAGTTTTTTCTTCATGTAATTCTTCTGCTAATACATTTCATTAAAAATTAACTTATCTTTCAAATGAAGTTCTGAAATTCTCCTTTTTTTTTCTCTCTCACTCCCCACTTCAGTTCACTGCTGCTTCCACAATCCCCCAAGGGTGAGTCTAGTACAATACACCACCAATCAACTGCACCGATCACTCGCTTATTACTCACAAAACATCTCCACTACTGAGGACATTATTAAAAAAAACAGCACTGTAACACTGAGATTAATAACTGATCATCACACTGGTTTATCAGTCTACTCAGGCTTTAGCAGAGCTCAGTAACACTGAGATTATTAACTGATCATCACACTGGTTTATCAGTATACTCAGGCTTTAGCAGAGCTCAGTAACACTGAGATTAATAACTGATCATCACACTGGTTTATCAGTCTACTCAGGCTTTAGCAGAGCTCAGTAACACTGAGATTATTAACTGATCATCACACTGGTTTATCAGTCTACTCAGACTTTAGCAGAGCTCAGTAACACTGAGATTAATAACTGATCATCACACTGGTTTATCAGTCTACTCAGACTTTAGCAGAGCTCAGTAACACTGAGATTAATAACTGATCATCACACTGGTTTATCAGTCTACTCAGGCTTTAGCAGAGCTCAGTCACACTGAGATTAATAACTGATCATCACACTGGTTTATCAGTCTACTCAGGCTTTAGCAGAGCTCAGTCACACTGAGATTAATAACTGATCATCACACTGGTTTATCAGACTACTACTAAAATCATTATTCAGCTTTCATGCTACAGTAACTGGATGAAAAAATGTCACGGACAAAAATATGTGCAGACGGAAAGATAAACAAACAAATGGAACAAACAACTGGATGGACGAAGCAATGTGCGAAGGAATGGACGAACAGACGTGTGGACAAACAAACGGATGAATGAAACAACGTGTGAATGAAGGAACGGATGAATGAATAATGTTCATGTTTGGGTGAACAAATGAATGGGCGACAGGCAGCTACAGACAGTAGTAGCTTGCTAGCTCTAGGTTTTGCTGGATTAGCTTTAGTTTGCTAATTTTCTCTAACTCCGAAATTGTTTTGTGTGGGTGGAGCAAGAGATGTCAGCCTTGTGATTGGTCAGGGGAATGCTTACAGAAGCCTTATCCAAGATTAGGACCACCCAGTTTACATCAAGAGGAGAGAAATATGGTGAACTATACCGGTCATTTAGTGGTCACTGAAACATTATTCAGAGGCTATATTGGGTACATGTTTACTGTTTGCCTGCAAGAACCTAATTAGATTAACCTAATTAGAAAGAAAACACAGATTTAGGTTCCTTTTAACAGACATTTCGAAAATTTGGTGGAATTCCACTTTTTTTCTATTTTTTACTTGGTATCTAATTACTTTTGTCTTTATTTCGACACAGTAACTCAACATTTTGACAAAATAAGTCATCAATTCGAGATACTAAGTCAAAATTTTGCCATGCTGCTGCCAGAAACAGAGAAACAGTAAAAATACATGAGTGATTTGTTTTTCTCCTCTACCTGGCGGGAACGGGCTTCTGTTATAATGAGCTTCCACTCAAGACAGTTCTTTAAAACACAGAACATAAACATTTAAAACAAAAGAGCATAAAATTTGACCCAAAAATGATGAAAAAGTGCGCTGGCCCGTCCTGCACGTGTGCGAGTCTGCTACAGGAATCCGGATGTGATGAAAAATGTTTCAGTTCAACTTTCTCTCGCGCAGCTGCAGCGGGACGGTGCTGTGATACAGCAACACTGCTGCTGACTGGACTTACTTTTCTTTTTAAAGGAGTTTTTCAGCCGTTTTTCAGGAAAGTTGGTCTTTGTGCATCTGCTGTCCGGCGCTGTGAGTGAAACTCGTAACGGGACGCGGTTTTGTTTGGAGGAAGGATGGAGGGAAATCACACTTGAAGTCTTCTGGAGAAGCTGACATGTTTGAAAGGTAACGACTCTTGTCTGTCCGTCTGTCAGGCTGTGGGCTACTTTTCAATGCTGTCTGTGGCGTTTTAGCCGAAAGACGCAAACGTGACTTGTCACCATGTCACCGAGTTAGTAGTAGGTCTTTGTGAGTGAGTTGGTTGCATTTTTAGGGAGGAGGGGAGAAGAAAACTTTCCACTAAGTTTTAACGACATTTTGTAGGCTGACGTCACTTTTCTCCTCAGAGAAGAAGTAGTAAAGTTAGCGCACTAAAGCTACTCCGTGCTCTCGGTACGATACTGGATCCGCAGACCTTTCACAGTTTGCGCTTTTCTGACAGAGTCGACGGCTGAGTGAAAAAGGAGGGAGGCTGTGTTTTCCCCTCTTCTCGGGTGTGTACAGTATCTCAACAAGAAGACTGGCTCATGTCCGCGGAGACAGACTTACCTCCGGAGGGGCCTGTAGGGCCGGAGAAGGAGCTGCCACAGGAGACGAGTCTGCTTCTGTCTAACAACCAAGGTGAGAGAGGTTTATTAGGTTTCCAGAAGCTTTAGTTTACACGTTAACGACGTTTACATCAGGCCTCAGATGTCAGGCTTCATTTCACTTTACATTAATTGGCCCTGCAAAACGTATGGAGCACGCTAACGTATGAGCAGGCCTGCTTTGCATGCAAAGGGTAGGCTTTTTAGTATCTGAGTTACATATCAATACAAATTTGATGAATATGTGCTTTCCTGAGTACTTTGGGAGTGTGAAATCTAGGCAAAGTGCCCTACCTTTTGCTCAGTTACGTCTTAGTAACTAACATTGAGTTGATCATGCTTTTTTCTGCCTAGGTCTCTATGTTGTAGGTTACTGGTGACAGCATTTGCACTGCCTTGCAACTGGTGTCATCAGTTTTAGACCAGAAGCAAGGCAGCACAGATACTGTCACCTGCATAAGATACATTTAAACAGACAAAAAGTTCAATGTTAGTTAGTTGATCAAGTTTTTTTTTCTGTTTAAATGTATGTTTTGCTGGTGACAGCATCTGTACTGCTTTGCAGTTGGTATAATCAGTGTGTTTTAGACTAAAAGTGCATAAAAAATAGAAAAATATCGCTAATGAAGGGCATATCAGTATCAGTGGGTATAGGTATCGGACCAGTATTAGCAGAAAAGGGAAGTACAGAATAAATCCAATCCAGACCTGCAACAAATTAGCTGGTAGCTGTGCGTTTCGTCTTGTGGGGTGGGGTAGCAGAGCGTTTGAGCAGTCTGAGCATGATAGACTACTTTTAGATACTCATCTGAAGTGAAGTGCTTCCATTAAAAAATAGCTCAGTTTAGAGCTTAATAGTTTTTAAAGGAAATAATTATGTTGGTTATGGCCTAACAAACATAAGTTTCTATGCTGATGGATGTTGGATGTACTACAGAGTTTCTCTGCAGTCCTGTAAGTTACCCAGTTAAGAATATTTTTACTTTTATACTTTATTTTTTGGAAAGATGCTTTTACTTGAGTCATTATTGCAAAGAAGTAACAAAACCGTCACTTGATTATAGGTTTAAGCAGCAAAACCCACCTCTGATTGATATAGCTCAGTTGATGCTATATAATTTGCTTTTGATACATATATGTAAATTAGAGAAAGACGTCTCTGTAAATTGTCAGTAACCAGCTGAATACCAGCACACAAACTGATTTCATCAAAGCATGTTTGGGTGGTTGCCATTAGGGGTGATAATGTTTTCATTATTTCCCAGTAAGGATTGAGGGAGGCTTTGGTGACTATTAGCAGGAACCACTGCCAATTATAGTTTTTAATTAAGTTTCTAGTTGCTTGTGAGATTATCATATATAAAATAAGCTTGGCCTTTTTTTTTAAAGCACTGAACCGTTAACCATCCTATTTATACCAAGCATCATTACAGTACTGTCAAAAAATAGCAAAGTAGGACAAAGTAAGCAATCACAGGCACGGCTGGCAAATGGATTTTTGCAGGACCTTCAAAGCCCCGCAGTTAAGACTGGATTTCCCTCTCCCGGGACTGTATGTGCAGAGAATAGACCAATTTATTTCAAACTGTAATCACTAAATACTGTGATGCATCACAAGCCGCCTGTACTGTAAGTGTGCATCGATTCAGGGAGTCACAGTCTGAATAAAGGCTTTCCATAAATCAGCTCTGGGCTCTTATAAAGCCATATCCATCTCGGAAGCTAAAGCAACTGTAGCATGTCAGTCTTTTCACTTTGTCTTGTGTAATGAGCAATGCTCTGGGAAACACAAAACTAAAACAAATGCTGCCAGGAAAGAAGACATGTGCTGGTGCTGACTCATAGATGCTTCATTCGCCTCACTGTGGACTTGCGCAGCTGACCCAAAAACATGGCATGAGGAGAAACAGGACTGTATTCACAACATTGTGCAATCGAAAGCCTATCATGCCGTTCAAATATGAGAAGGCATAAGCACAGCAAATTCTGCCATAATGTGATGAGCGCTGTGTAAGTGTGTAATTTACAGGACTTTCAACATCAGTGACTAAGAGGTGTCCTTAATTACCTGTTAACTACAAGTGCTGGTTAATGACTCATGTTTGAAACTGATTTATGAACATCCTGTAATGATTTCAATGATAAATCAAACATGTATAACCTTTATAAATTCAGCAGGTGATAGGCTGCTTTTAAAACAACAGGTCATCATTGTAGGAATTTCAGATGTGTATCAAAGTGTAACATAAATACTTGTATATACAGTGTATATTGTTTCACTCTTCAAACTCAATGTTTCAAAGTTGCCTTGTCCTTTTGTATGGCTTTCAGGCAGGTTTTGCCTACATACTTTTTCCAATTTAGATGAATGCTGTCTTATGGTTGTAAAAATGTTGGCAGGTATCTCGCAGCCGGGAGCAGAGTTAAGAAAATGAGATCCAGAATTCTGGCCTGGGCTTTACCTGATCAGCCCACGCTGTTGTGCAACCACTCGCCAAAGGAATCTGTTTTATCTGGCATATTAAAGTTGCTCTTTCTGTTCTTGATGCTGAAGCAAGCCAGTCTTAAACCTGACCTCTGTGTTTTCGAATGCTTGGCTACCTTAAGTAAATGAGAACATTCTGTACACTTAAATGATTGTGTTTGGCAAATGCATTTGGTGATTTAGTTGAATTGTATCAAGTTTTAAACATTTTTTTCACAGGCACATGTCAGAATGATGCCGATGGGCTGTCCGACACCACAGAGGCGAATAGACCTCCATCTTCAAGAGGACACTCCACTGATGAACAGGAGGACGTTTTGAGGGAAAACCACACTGATGGCGACCTTGTAAAAAGTAAGTGTTGTTTTGCAAATAAAATGCACATTTTGTTTGCCTGTTCCAAGTGGAAATCTTTGGAAATTTATGGAAATCGTCTATTGTGAAAGTTTTTAAAGTTTTTTAAAGTCCTTTCTTCTAATAATCTCTTATAATCAAAACATTATTCATGACGGTTTTAGGTTGTTGATTACACAATAGGTTCACACAGGCCTGATATATCAATCAGCAGCGGATTGAAATAAAAAGGTGTTTATTCCATGTTTTTCCCATAAAAGTTGGCAAAATTATAGCACAGTATATGCTATGTATCAATACTAGACTATTGCATATCCAGACTGTTCTTTTTTTATTTGACCTTGCCCTGCCTTTGCATGACCAAGATTAATAGGTGAAACACCATAGAACTGACATAATGAAAAGAGCGTGTAGTTTTCCACTGACATCACACTGTATTGCTCATAACAAGATTGAAAAGGTGAACTGACAAACCTAAAATCTTGAAATGAGCAACCATCTACTTTCCCTCATATATGTCCTTCTTGTGCAAACTTCCCCATGTTTCACTTTTCATCATTTCAAGACCTCGTAGTTGCTGAGACTATCTGTGTTGTGGAAAAAACAAGTTTTGCTTCTTCTCATTTAACAAAGGACACAACCTTATAATACATTCATGCCTTGGACTACTTTGATGGAAAGTTGCAGTCATTGGCAAATTTATAGTTGTGGTAAACTGTGGTTGAAGATCCATGCTGTCAGAATGCGTGGAGAGATAAAGATTTTGTTATCAGTCAAATACATTACATATAAGAAGCAGATTCTGTATGATTCTGTCCGTTGTTAGAGATACTGTGCCCATAAACTACAAAGCATGCAAATTTTCATGATCAGATCTTGCAGGGGTTTATCAGCATGGATATGCAAGTTTGTCAGCATCTTTGACAATGCTTATGCTTCTGGGAACTGGCACTAGTATTTTTTTGTCAGAAAAACATATTGAATTAGTTTTAATCTTTACACTGTTTGCTGGTAATTGATTTCCAACTTTTTCAACATCTATTTACTTGAGTTCTGATATTCTTTCCCTTAGGCTATATCTCTGTCAAGCGCAGATTTTGATTATGCAAATTGTGGATGTAAGCTAAGCTCTGCACTCTGTATTCTTCTTTTGCGAGATAATTTTAAAGGCTACAAATAGTGTTGTCTGTTTTCTTTGATGAAGGCCTTAAGGAAGTGAACTGAATTGACTTTAACCTGTCTCTTCATTCTGCTGTTAGGTTGGATAATAGTTGACATTTCTCCACGTGGTTACTCTGCCAAAGCCTCAGTTCAGAGAGCTGTGTGAGTAAGGATATCCCATTGTGGTTTGGCCTCAGCTGGCCTGGATATGCGAATCACGGTTGAAAACCTGCTGAATTGGAAAGGCTCTTACCTGGTAAAACGTTGCCTGCTTTAGGGGCTTGAACAGAGTGTAAACTGAATGACAGATTGCAGTGGGTCACCAGAGCTTTTGTGGTTGTAGCTGAGCGTGTTAACTTCATGTTAGGCTGGTTGTGGAGTTTTACAGATATGCAATGTTTTTGCTCATGTTTCATGCAGGTCAGTAAGTGCAGATGGAAAAGGTGTCTCATTCTTAAGTTCTAGTAGGAAATAATTAGGAAAACAAAGATTTGAAACAAAGGTTGTGATTGGAAATTTCTCACCACTTGTTTTTGGAGGGGAAAATTATCGACACACCCTCTTCCCACAGTTCCTTTGTGTGGATTGCAGCTTAGTGCAAGACGCCCGTTCCATGCAGAATGAATTGCCAGACAGTATCTCTCTCCCTTAGTCTCTCTTGTTTGTCTCTCACATACAGACTTGGCACTGACAAAATCTGACATCACCCTTACATACAGATGTGCTGTGTGTTTCACTGATAAAAAACCTAGCTGTCCACAGGCCACAGTTAAGTGCCTGTAGCACCACTGATAGATCTTGCTATAGACAGTCTTCACTTTCGTATAGAGAAAATCCCCTGACCTTCTTCTAAGTGAAACTTGAGACGGGTTTTCCTTTATATGATTCCTCTGTTTCCTCAGAGGCGTTTGGGCTGTCTAGTACCACTAATAGCAACTGATTGCTTCCATCCATGTCGATGTTGCTGGATTGCTTGCATCTGACACAACAGCTCTTTGTTTCTAAGTTGTTAAATTTTCCAGCTTACTCCGCTCCTTTTGCTCGTTTTCTCATATCTGTCTTCTTATTACACTCACTCAGTTGCTTGTTTATTCGTGGAACCAAAACAAAGTGGTTCCTATAGAGAGTAACACATTTTAGAGACGTTCTCTTAAACAAATTCCTTTTTTATATCAACAGCAGGTGCTTTACTTCAGTGACCTGCCGCTGGATTTGTCTTGCATGTCAAGATGGGTTTCTGGGTTTCTGCTTTAATCTGTGCTGTGATTGATCACATTCCATTGCAGATTGCACTGCCAGTGCATAAGACTGGGAAAGGTGGTAGTCCTTTGGGAATGTCACTGGACTACTTTTGAGACTCTTCATATAATGATGATAGAAGCCAAATGTCTGCATTGAAGATGTGCTCCAGCATATGTGTCAGGTTGTAAAACGTAAAAAGGGCTGTCAGCAAATTGATGATGATGGAAAGGGCTTTAGCTTCGTCTGACAGGGTGCCTGAGGTATGGAGAGAGAGAGCTGGAATGGTAGACACTGCAGTGATTGGTGTGGGAAGTTCACCAATCAGATTGTACGATGTGATAATTAGAATTCTCATGTCTTGCAGTAGAACAGGAAATCAATAGGAAATCACTTGACTGACCACTTTATAGTAGTTTATCTTATTTCCATTTTAATTTCCTGTTGGATGGGATTTTCTCACATTCTCTGCATGGGGTGGATGACTCACTTGTTCATGATGGGTCTTCCTCTCGGTGATGGCTAAATCACCACACCTTATTTATCTCATTTTGGATTTTTGTTTCTGACTGGTGATTCATAAATAGCTAAGTACTCTAAATACTCTCACAGAGTTATGGAGTGTTTCCTTATTACCACGTCCAATGCTTACTGCATGTCAGAAAATAAAGTGCTGTACTTTTTAAAGGATCATATTCTCCATACAAACCTGTTTCATAATTTTTTTGGAATTATTTAAAATAAATTATTATCTTGAGACCACATTCATTTCTCACCTTGTCTCTGTCAACAGTTGTGTTTTGTGTTGTATTTGATCTGTCCTGTGACTGTGTTTTCATGAATTTTGTATGTGATAATTAGTGATTGTTAATGCAGCCATGTCTGATAAAGGAGAGCAGCCTTGGTATTTTTACTGTCCAGGTGTTTTAGTGTTGTGTGGAATCCCAGCAAGATGACATCATTCGCTGACCCATTAGCCTAGCAGGCAAACTGCAGCAGGTTGCTTGTGATGTGCCCCACGTAATTCTAAAATCTCTAGTTTCTATGATCATTGAGTGCAATTAATGGTAGTTCAGACACCGTTTTGGATTTTTTGGTAAGGGCACAGTGGTGTTTTTCTTGGCCAGTTTCGTTTGGAAAAATATTAAGGCAGGAATAGAATCGATTAAACACTTCATAGTGAGGCCTTAAATTAGAGTGGACAGGTCTAATGCAAATCAGACCCTGTTATTTACAAAATTGTTCCAAAAACTGACCCACATTTTCCTTATTAATTTCAGGTATTTTTTGCATTTTTGATTTCTTTATTACAGCAAGCAAAGGGTTTTGTAATTACAGCCCTTTAATGTCTAAACAGCAACCTGCAATCAAAACTACTAAGCAGCAACATGCAATTAAAACTCAACAAATTTATTGTGGAAAAAAAAATTGTTAAAATACAGAGAGACTGTAAAAGCTTACTTTTTTTCTCACAGTAAAAGGGAAACGGCTTTCCCTGTGTATTTTGATCACTTTAATCTTAAAGAATGCTTCATTCTTGTTGCACAAGATGCTAATTTTATGTCTGATCATGTGTCTCCAAAGCAAGGGCCCATTAGAACAGAGGGCTAATTTTCAAGTGATTACTTCTCAGTGGGTCATGGAATCAAAAACGGTATAAATAGGGTGAAATGCTAGCTCAGGGGTTGATTAAAATGGCCATTGTGGTTCTACCTCTGTGATAATTATTTCCTCATTGTCTTGGATGTAGATACAATTCATATGGAAAATTTCAAGCATTTTAATTAGCATTTTACTAGTGCTAGGGCCCTTTCAAGGAATTTCCGTGTTGTTCAGTTATCTCACACCTGTGTCCATGAACAATTTGGAACATTGGGCTTTTCTCAACAATTGCCCAATAATATGTAACCCCATTGCCTGTGGTGACCAGACTGAATTTGATTTTAATCTTCTTAATCAAGTTAAGCACATTTTAAAGAAACATTTACCTTGGAGTCTATGGAAAGCCAGTACTCTATGTGATCTTAAAGCTACTCTTTAGCTTTACAGAATCAGAGACCTAGCCCGGCTTTAGTAGCATCCCAAATCCTCTCCACACAACATAGTGGGATGGTGCCTTTCACTGAGGGGGAAAAAAAGAAAAAACACTTCAAATGAGAGTAGAGCAGGGGGGATTACTGGCCTTCTAACCGGGTTTTGGCTTCAACATTAAGGTTAAACCCCTTTTCTATTACCAGGATCTCTGGTGATGTGGCCCCCTCTGGCCCTGTGTGTTTGCAGGTTCACTGCCTCTCCGCTAGGTCATTCCGTCAGGCCTCTGATCACTGGGGGGTGACCAGGGAGCCGAAGACTGACTCCATTCAGCCCCAGCGCAGACGGCGCTCCCCGCCATGGCTAAAAATCGATACGGCCGTCTCCCGTTAAAAAGCCACTCAGAGGCAGACGAGCACCTCTGTCCTTTAGCCTGATTTTCAGGCTTAAGGTCTTGATTGGCACCCCAAAGCCAGAGCTCACTGACCCACAGCTGTCACATTAGTGCTGTTAATGTTAGAGATTGATACTGAGCAAATAAAGGAACCATGTCTATAGATATTTTTTAT